AATCTAATTACTAGCTTCCTTACTCTACAGAAGGAGAGTCAGTGATAACTAGCTCATGCTTTCCAAACTATTCACAAACTACTACACGATAGTATGTAGTTCTCGATGGCTCGTGAACTTCGATGCCAATACAAATAGAAGGACCTCATACTTTTGTCCGTCATTGTGTAGAAGTAAACTGAAGAGTTGAGGTTAGTTATAGTTACTAAAAGATTGTTAGGAAAAGAACATGAAAACCCCACACCATATTAATTAATATCATTAGCTCATCGTCTACCAAAAATTAGTTCAGTACATGAAACATTAAAAAAAATATAATAATAATAAAAGAAAGGAAGAAAGAAAAATTATGCGCAGCCTGTTTTGCGTCATTCAGAAGGAGATTGGTGTAGGAATCAATTTGGAGATCTCAATTACCCTTGGCCCCTCTTTTATTCAGAAACCTGGCTCGTGTGCAGGATCAGATATTATGTTATTACTCTACTCATTAACATCTTTTATGAGGTGTTCTAATATTTTTGGAGGTCGCAGAAATTTTGAAGTTTAAGGGGAATTTTTTGATTTATAAAGTTTAGTGGGTTTTTATTGAAAATCCCCAAAGCACCGAGGGTTTTGCTGAATTCACCTTTTAACTTGCAATGCATTAAAAAGAAAGTATATATATCGTTTTTGATAGTTGTCTTATTACGAAATCGACATCTTCATGTAATGTAGGAATGAGTTGCAGTAACCCCTGGTGAAACTAAAAGTAAACTGATAAGAGAAGTAATAACACTTCTAAAAAGATTGATTTATGTAATATATTGAGGCAATTTCAATATACGAGGTATGAAGAAGCTGTAAAATTCATGAATGTCATGCTGAGTCGGCCCCTAAAGTAATCCTGGGTTATGTAAAGTTAAAAAGCATAAGGTGGGGTCTACGGAGACGTTTTGGAGTTTTGGGGTTATGTCGGAAAAGTTATCTTTAGTAGGAAAAACAAAGGATTGGGTGATTAAACAGGTTAAATTTTTTTTCTTTTCTTGTATATTTTTTGATCGACGGGTTAATTTAATTGTTCGTCCTCATATTTATCACTTAATGGGACGTTTATATTTATATTTTAATTGCTTGAATAACTGATAATGTAATTAAACACTAATTGGATCGTAAATCACTTCTAATGCATTTCGTCGATTGACATGTCGATTTTGGTGATGTAACGTACGCAAAATCTTCAGCATTTGACATAATGGATTTATTCATATTTGTATTTTTCTTGGTCATCTATGGAAATAAAAGTTTGTGACACGTCGGACATGTTGTATTGAATGATCTAGAAGGAAAAACAAAATTCTAGTGAAATTGAGAGAAAAATGATCGTGCCTGGACTTTGAAGGCTGAAAAGGAGCACGGGGATCTCATTTGTCTCGCGAGAGGTTTTTTTTTAAATTATATATGAAAGGAATAAATTTTGAACTTATCAAATTAGGACAAATTTTCAAAACCGACCCATTTGGGTTTTTAATTGCAAAAAACGACCGGTTTTGAAAATATTTACAAAAACCAACCTGTTTTCAGCCAGGGGCTGAAAACAGGTCGGTTTTTTTAAATTTTTTCGGGAAACTTCACGGGAGTTGAACTCCCGTGAAGTTTTTTCTCATAACAACACTTCACGGGAGTTGAACTCCCGTGAAGTTTGGGAAAAAAATTTTAAAAACCAATCCAGTTTCAACCAACTGGGTCGGTTTTTATAATTAAAATTAAAATGGGTCGTTTTTTGCAATTAAAAACCCAAATGGGTCGGTTTTGAAAATTTGTCCTATCAAATTATATTTAAAATTGGCGATTTCTTGAACTTTATATCAATTTTGTATTTTGTTTTACTAATTTTTTAATTGCTTTTACTGATTTTTTAATATAAAGTAATTTCTACTATTTGCATCGATTTTAAACTGATAGTGAAACATGAATTAAATTCTTTTTCATCTCTGTGATTCTATAAAACAAGATATACATTGCATTATATCCTATCTACATAAAAAAGAATTAAAATGCTAAAAAATAATTTATTAATATTATTAGTTATATTTCTACCTTGTTTTTTAAAGTTAAAGAAGTAAAAAAAAAAAGTATCCTTTATCATTTCACTACAATTTTATTTGACAGTTTCTTCCTACATAAACATTAAAAAGAACATTCTTTCCTTTCCTTTTCTTATTCTTATTCTTTTCCTATTGTTTTTATTTTTTCCCTTCTTTTTTCATTCAAACCAATCACAGGTATCGGTTTTGGATTCATCCTCCGATAACTGAGACCGGATAAATTCCCTGTATGCCTTGTAAAAAAAGTACTCAACTATTTTTTTACTTAATGTCACACAAGTAGATTATCCTCAGCAAGAGGAAGAAGAAAAAGTTAGTGATCACAAACACAAAGTGTGATCTCATCCAATAACAATAATAAATTGTCACATTCAAAATAAACAAAAAAAACAAAGCTATGAATGTGCGTCATAGTACACTAGTTCATGACTTTTTAAATCTTCATTCACAAGCAAATGTTGATATTAGAACAATGGAAGCTTGGATCTTCATCCTCATCTCTCTCGCTCTCTCCCTTTCTCCCCCTCGTACTCGCCAAACTCAAACCGAAAGCTCCCTCTCTCTCTCTCTCCCCTCTAGGTCCATCAACCACAGTCTTCTTTGTCAAAAACGTTCTCTTCATTCGAGCTTGAACAAACTCCTCTACAAGCTCCACAATACTTATGGCTCGATAATATCCCTCTAAACTCTTCGCCACCCGATCATCTTCATCTAGGATTGCCACATTGCACACCAAGCTCTGGTGCAACATGGCTCAGCCATTGCAGATCACCCACATTTTAGAAAGCCTAGATGTTGTCCTTATCTTGCGATGGACATGACATAAATTCATCGCCCTACGGTTCTCTATCGCGCTTGCTGCGTCATAACCTCTCCTCAGAGATTCTCTATCCCTCTCACATAAAAAAAAAAACTTTACTCCATTATGTAGTTGGGAGTATAAACTACTCCTCAACAAGCTCAATAATAAACATGGAGCTCAACTCATGATAGAGAATTTTGAAGTCTCAATGATCTGCTTGCTTTTTCCCACGTGTCTCGGAGAGAAGGTTGATGAGAAGAAAATCGAGGAGATACATGGGATGCAGTATTCTATATGCAGGTTGCTTCTCGCTAGATTCAGCTTCTTTGTTTTCTTTATGAGGATCATGAAGTTTGTGTTCCGCAACAAGGGGAACAAGATTTTAGCGTATTGAAGGAGGCAGGCAGAGCTTGTTAGTCCGTACAATATCTCTAGTTTGAGTAATAACAAATGCTCATACGGTACTAATATTAGTTTGAGATAGTTGCGTTATATGTAAATACGGGTATTAGATGTTAACGAGGCGAAACGACGCAAATGATTTCAACACCACCACCATCATGAGTAGGTCATTGACCATCGATGGTGAGTAGTGACCGTCGATGGTACTATGACTCGTCGATGGTGCAAAAACCTAGAGATATAAATATCATTGATGAGTTTCTCAATCATCGATAGTCTCTCGACACCATCAATGGTCGAGAGACACCATCGATGTGTCAAAATACTCTCACTTGGACCAATACTCAGTCTAATATAAGCTCAAGAAGTGAACACCTATAGGCTAAACACTTTATGTAGGCCAAAAATATGCCATGGTGAAGTTTGTCCACGCCATAGCGAGACTCGCGAAAGCAATATTGAAGCTCTCTTTCAAGACCAAGTCGAAGTGAAACTTCAGGCGAAGTTTTCCCAAAGTGAGCCTTACGCAAGCAGTCCACGCGGGTCATGTCACTCACTATTCTGGCGAAGTTCGCTAGAACTAACTTCGTCCATGACCATTATTGGCGAAACTCTCCAATGACCATTTCAAAAGCTATTTTTATGGAAATAGTTCATCCTCATTATCTCCTAAGTTAATGGCCACTAATACATATTTAATGGACTCTCTCTCTCTCTCTCTCTCTCTCTCTCTCTCTCTCTCTCTCTCCCCCCCCCCCCCCTAAGGAGGAGGAGAGACAACTCATTTTTTAGAACCTTTAATCGACATCTTCATCAATCACCAAAGAGGTAGATCAGAGATCGAATTTTAGCTTTAGTTTGGGAAGCTTCTCAAAATTAGCAAGAATACTTATTGCTTCGGTCGAACAGTCAATTGAGTACGAGAATGACGCTCCATCGATACACATAAAAATCCAGTCTTATAAAAATTTATTGTTCCTTTGTAATCTTAAAATTTTAATCTTGAGTGAGTTATAATTTTAAGACTCGAGTCAGGATGGCAACTACCCTAGAGACTACTTTCTTAATTGACTAGAAAATTTTGTCCCAGCCTGACACTAAGGCCCTTGGATCCACTGCTAAATCGCTGCGATGTTTGAGGATTTCATTTCCTCCAAAAAGTCAATTGTGGCCACCATTAGAGGTTGCTGTAAGATCCATCGTAGCTTGAAGATGGGGTTAGAGTCGACCCTCACCTATAGCAAGGTGAGCTCCGTCGGCAGCAGTCTTGGTGTTGCTAGAAGCCAGATGAACTTCGTCCAAAGCGAAGAAACATACATTCATACGTCTTTTGATTTTGGACTTTAGTCCACAACCCCTTTGGGGGTATGTTTTGAAGCATCTGCGATGCTAGATTTGCTTCTTTAAAAGAAGTAAGGAATTTGGGTTATCCTCCATTCAAAATTCCACAAGGGAAAACAATCACCCTTAGTTATTCTTCTTCCAAGTCACAAGCTCTGACCA